ACACACAGGCATGGGCACAGCCCTGTATGTGAGTTAATACTGCAAAGGTAACCAGCCACAGGAGTGAAAACCAGGGTTCTACAGAAGGAGGAGAAGATTGTCTTTTGTATTCTTTTAGGCTTCTTTAGAATGTCTTTTGTATTCATTCAGGGGGAAATGAGCTATAAGTTGTGCAAAAATGACTGGTCTATGAATCTGGACCAAGCTTATGGTCTGAAGACAGAGCACACTTAGACCCCCTCCCCTGATCAGGATGCAGAAGTTCCTATTTCTCCGTCAGGGTAAGTGGATGCTGCAGAGGCCAAAATGGAATGGAAGGCACAGCAAGCCCAGGAGCAACTTTCCAAGCAATAAGGCAAGCATAGCCCCTGAAGCAACCGAACAGAGTGACCCCCTTGGGGTTCACCAGGTCAGCACAGACTGAAGCAAAGGAGACGGAGCAGGAGCCAAGAGGCAAAGCTAGCCCTGCTAGGCATTGACACCTTACACAGTCTCCGTTTTTACTGTCCCATTAACGGGTCTGGTCTAAGACAGCCTAAAGCTACTCAGAATTCAGAGAGGCACATAGATCAAATTACTGTTAAGCAGATAAATTGGAAGGTGTTTCTTAATACCACACTGAGAGAAAAAGAAGGTGATGCAATACTGATTATTCCATTAAATATTAATCACAACACAGCTACTTTCAAGCTAGAATGTATTCCTTTGGATAACTGAATTAAGGGACAGGAGAACTGAATGAGCTTCAAGGCTTTGTATGTGTCTGTCATTTCTCAATTACATTAAACTGAGTTCTTCAGACCACGGATGGTTATCCCCAAATATTAGTTTTTGTTAAAGTTACAGGTTCAAGCTTAAAAAAAAAAAAATTAAAAAAAAAATACTCGGGACTTTCAGATTTGCTCAAATGACTCCCAAGATCCTTCTTACTGTTCAAGGAGGCTGAAGAGGCAGTCCTAGACCTTCCATCACATATCCTTGAAACAGAGAATGAGGATATCTTTTCCTCCTACAAATTTTAATTCGCACACACATGCCATCAGTTGGATAGCAGTGTTACACACTTCTCTCCTTCCCCTTCCGCTTCAACTTGGTAATTAGACTCCCGTAACAGTAGGGCAACACCGAGACTGAATTTTACCCTTCAACTTTGGAGCACTGAAACTTCTGCAGGGAAATTTTATAGCAAAGAGCAATAAAGTAATTGCAACTTTTTCAGAAGGTAATCTTCAAATAAGCATGCTCTGGAATTAATTAGTTTTTACTGTTGCAGAAAGCTCTTCAGACATTCCTTCATGCTGCATGTGCTAGACTGTTACCCTACACCACCCCCATCTCCAACTGACACATTACCTCCAACACCAAGATCTTCAATTACAGTAGCTCAAGAAAGGCTGTGGAAAAAAATAGTTCTTTCCAGAGTGCTACTCAGTTCTGGTAACATTTAACGTCTCAGTCAACCACAGGGTGCAGTTCTTCTCTCCACTAAAACAAAATCCAGGATTTGCCTTTGTTATTCAGGAGGGAAAAAAGAAAAAAAAGCAAGAAGCTTTTACATTTCAAAAGCCATACATATTACTTCGTGTGACCGTTTCGAGCCCTCCTAAGTTTCAGTAAGTTTTATCCTGCTTGGCAGTTTCATACTATTTCTTTATTTTCCCTTCAATTAAGCAGCAATCTATCAAAAACTTCAAGTACATTTCCCCTTTTTCAGTAATGTGCATGAATTTTATTGGATTCAAACTTTTCAACATCTCTTTTCACGCAAGGTCAAAGCTCTACATTGTTGTAGTTTTCTTTTTCAGTGTTTTTTCTCCAAGTCAGTCCTCCACTGGGAAATTAATATTCCGCATGAACAATGAACTCCTTGCATGGCCTTTGAACCTAGTGGTTGCTAGGAGGCCTAAAGAAACCCTGGAGTACAGCCGATTTAATAGCATGTATCAAGAGATTATTCAGCAGTAAAAATGTGTGATTTTCTAAACTCCCTGCTTTTTTTCCTTCTTACTTCCATCTCCCTTCATCTGTCAAACAATCTTTAAATTTCAGATGAATTGCATCTGCATCAATTTTCTGTAATTACAGGCAGTTTGTTCCCCAAGTATTGAAAATGTGACTGCCAGCCACCAATGCTGCTTCTAATCAAGCATATATCAAACTGGTCCTTACTCAGTTTTACTGAAAAGGCTGCTTAAAATCGGGTGTGCTTCACCACTCTTGCATGAGGTTTGCACTTCCATTATAAACACAGTTCTGCTTAGAGACTGTATTTTCCCCAGATAAAACACCACAGCATTGACTGCAACACCATTACTCAGTATTACTCTGTGCTGAAAGAAATATATATACAATTCTCCATGCACCATTCAGGCATACTCGAATATTAACGTTTCAAGTTTTTTAGCATCTTCTTGAAGGCCATTTGACTGTCTGCTTTTTCATATTTCCGTAAGCGGAGTAATTGAGGCAAAACCCCAAGGTTTCTTTCCCACTCTCCACGCCCATCCCAAACAATGCGGCATTTAATTAAAAGAGAACCACAACAATGCTAATGGCGATGAGGTTAAATGGTTGGGATAAACAGAATGCAGCCCTCTGAAAAGCCCATGTGTTTCGGGACACTTTCTCCCCTACCACATTCTGCGTGACAAAGAACGTGTTTGTATTCTTGAACCCCACAACTTTTATTCCAGAGGACTTCCTATAGATTTCTTGCAAGGAAGTGAGTTTCCTTCAAATAGTGAGAAGTGTTTAGATACAGTAGCCATTCCTCCCAAAACTAATATTTGGAAAGGCAGCAGACAAGGATCCTTTAAAAATAAATGAATGTGAAAACTATCCATCAAGAGAACAATTGCATTTCCAGCTAAAAGCCTACTAAGTTGTTGTTTTGGTTTAAAAAAAATAAAAATTGCTGATTTTAATTTTCAATGTATTCTCCCTCCAACAACTTTTGCAAATTACTCAAACTAAACATGATGTTTGTTCTTCTTCAGTTGTTGCAACTGAAATCAATGCACTGTATATTCATAAACATGGTGTTCTGGGGGTCTGGAGATTACTTTAAAACATTTATAGCAGATTACAAATCTAGCCCCCCCCCCCAGCCCCCCTCAGGACACACATATCTGCCAAAAAAATGCAAGGTGACACATTTGATTTTGCAGATCGCTGGTGTTTGACCGTCTGACTGGATTGTACCAACCTTGCCAAGATAAAGCTTTTACAGAGCCAGACTGCTTCCCTGAAGAATTAAAAACAAGCAAAAAACCACACCGCTTGGCACAAAATGCTCACGTGAGCTCCTTCTCTTTTAAATACTGGCTTCCACACTGAAAGAAAGGCCTTAAGTACCGACTTCAACAGAACTGACACAGTGTATCTTACAGTGGGAATATCAGGACATTCACACAGAACAAAAATCTTCACAGTAGGGACAGATTTGGCTTTCCAGCCACTTCCAGGTCCTGCAGCACCAATGAAACAAAATCACCCCTCCACCACCACCACCATTCTCCTCTCCTTCAGCTGTTCAAGCATAAATTATCCTTGTCATTTTCTCTCAATATGTGGCTTCCCAGGAAAGGGAAAAATCAGAGCAGCTATTGCCAAAATAGCACAATATTCTTACACAGGCAGATTTTTCAACAAAATGCGTATTATTTCCCCTGTGCTTGGGCGTTAAAGAAATAACAGTCACAAGACATTTTTAAAACATGAGAAACCAATCCTGACCAAAGAGATATGTTTATTAGGGCCAGAGATAGGAAAGTGAGCACATAACTGACAACCACAATCTTTGGCTCAACCTTTGCAGCAGAAATGGGGGGGTGGGGAATGGGACAGGGCACAGGACTGGAAATGTTTTCAGTAATGCATAATAAATACTTTCATTTTCTCCCTCTCCCTCTTTTTCTCATTTAAAGGAATCTGCCCACTCAACCTAAATTGAGCCTCAGAGGGAAAACGCGCCTTCATGATAAATTGGAATTTGCCATCATAGTAATGAAATGTTATGTCCGACCATCACAATAAGCAGGCAGCAGAACAACAAAGGAGGTTTCCAGGATTTTCTGCCCCCGGCCCCCTCCCCATCAGCATTTTCCCAAGTCTTCTTTCGGGTGTTTATGAAATGTCTGAATTCTAAGGCCATTAAGATGCATTTCAGGATGGAGCAGCTTCCATTAACAGTACTGAGGCTTTCCAAAATCGCACCAGCACCCCATCGGAGGCCAAGCCTCTCCCCAGTGCCTGCCTTTCCCTGCACTGTTTTTTGTTTTGTTTGCGCTCTCTCTTTCCCATGCACAAACATGTTGGTGCAGTGTCCATTATTTCCCTACAGCCTCCCTTGAAAGCAATCAACAAACAAATATACAGGCACGTGTGCGTTCCCCCACATACACAAGTCTGTTCTCCTTCTACACCTCAAATAACAGATCCAAATGTGTTTATAGTCATTTGCACCAAAGCGTGCTTTGCCATTGCAGAAACATGCAGCTGAAACCCAGAGAGAACTGTAACAAGGCAAAAGCGTTTGCCATCACAGGTGACCCTTTTCCTTTCCAAAATGGAAAAACACGAAACCCCAACGAGTTAACTAGAGTTAACGGCATTTAAAGGGGAGCGTGTGGGGCAGCAGTAAATACCCAGCACATGCTTTTACGCACAAAAGCAGCAAAGGGCTCCATGCTCTGCGCACCCAGTCATTTTTAGCTGCCCTTCCACGACAGACGTGACCGTTTCTCTCGTACGTTTATTTCACTCCACTATTAGATTTTAAACACCATATTGTGAGGGCCCCGCTGTGAATCTTGCGGAGGTACAAAATGGTGGATGTATGCTATTTTTTTTTTTTTTTTTTTTTGCATTATTCATTACAACTTGGGCTCCCGGTCGCAGGCTCCCCTCCGTACCCACCAACGCAGCCCTCCCAGCCAGACACACATCCCGCACCAGCCTCGCAATAAAGCTCTCCCGCACGCACAAATAACGTTACGAACCTGATGTCATGTAGCCCCGCGATGCCTGGGAAAGGAAAGCCGGTGGGAAGTGTTTGTGCAGCCGGTAGTCCTTCTCGCTCCGGGACCTCATGCGGTCTGAGGCCCGGTCGGAGAAGTCGGAGCTAGGCCAGGCCCGCCGCAAGGTCGTACTCCGCGTCTTCTTCATCCTGAGGATGCCCGAGCCTAATCCTCCCGCCGCTGCATGGGTCAGGCCTTGCGGCTCGCCGGATGCGCGCTGCCTGGCATCAGCCTAGCGCGGGTACCGCCGGGCGCAACCTGCGCGCATCTCGCCGCTACCTCTTCTAGGGCGCCAGCCGCAGGTCCCTTCCTTTTTTTTTTTTTTTCCCCTCGAATGATCCAATTTTACACACGTCCCACAATGCATTACACTTCATTTGCAATCGGTCCGGCTTACAGCTCCCAGATCGCGTGGAGGAAAGGCACGTTATGTGGCTTCTCAGGCAAAAAAGGGGG